AAGTTTCTAATAAACAACCAGTAGACGCGCTGCTCCAGTTTCAACCCTAGAAGACCGACAACAGTTTCGACCCGCCGCAGAGCGGCGTGCGCCGCGAGCTAACCAGGCACGTGTTATTGTGGCGGTGAGTGTTAATGAGCATAAACAATTACCAGCTGTTTCGAGAGACTTGCACGCGAATATACAGAGATTTCTTTGTAAGTTTAGCATGCCTACCCCCTATTTAGAGCACTCCCTCAGATGGAAATATATACCCGATCGGTATTTTTTCTGATAATAAAAGTGCCAAGGGTGGCCAAAGTGGCACCCGGTGGAGTTCCGGTTCTCAGGATAGTCTAAGATCAGGAACGCACAAAAAAACCTTTGTATATACGCGCATTTGCAATCGCTTCAGTGGTCAAATTTCCCCCACCGGCAATCATGACGACCTCACAGCGCAACTTGGAACATTTAAATAAAAGAATATGGTTAAAAAGCACGAATTACAGGAACTCCTTTTATTCTTGTTGTTATGTGCACGAAGCGGCGTGCGGTGAGGTGTACTGTGTGTGGGCAGAGAAGCCATCTTGTCCGGCATTTACAGGAAGTTAACTCGCAATAATAGCGACAGAGAAGTAGAGAAAACATTGGATTGCGGTAAGTAGAACCTACATTTTGTGTGTATTACAATGTTCGTTCGTAACGTTTCCTCGAGAGTGCCGTGTGTTCGTCAACGGGTACAGTCCGCCTCTGACTTAACTACTGGCGTACTACTGCCACAACAAACCTTGTCATTTAATGAAGTCCCTCATACTGACGTGGCGCGAGAACATCGCAAAACCTGTCTCAAAAATAGAGGCGTGTCCAATGAACTTACACGCACACGTGAACGCAACGTCAACGCACGCGCTACGCGCGAATGCCAGCCACGCAAAACAGCGCAACGCTCTATTGACCATTTTGTGGCGTCTTGTAGTTCATGTCACAGAAGTCGAATTTATGGTTGGTTGACCCATGTACATAATTTCACATTTCCTTCCCATGTAAAAATGTTCTTCGGGTTAATATTTGCTCCAGAACTAGGAGAAACGGTAGCTGAAGCCTTCCGTCGCAACATCATGCGCACTATGGTTGGCACATCGTACTCATAAATTTATTTTTTATGCGGTAAAGAAATAATTCACACCGACGTTAATTTGGCTCTTTTGCCAATCAGAGTCGCTTTGAACACATAATTATAACCACGGTGAGAAATTAGTGTAACAATGCCCTCTGTTGAGTAAAACGCAATAATTACTTCGTTCGTCTAGAGATTTCTCAGACGTAGTCGGATAGAATACTATCACACCCCCCCCCGCCGCCCCTGCGCGCGGCGCGCCAAGGCCTATGTGAAAATGCCTTATATAAGGAATTTGTGTACAAAATAGCCATCCTGTTTAGTGAAGGCTGCTTCGATCTCCATTGCTCTAATCGCGTGAACTGCTGCATATCTACTTTGTCCTCTACTGGTTGCCTTGTCGTTTTACACTTATATCATATGTTATTGAAAAATTGCCGCGAGCGTGTCGCTGTAGACTACCGCATAGCTGCTATTTGGCAATATTGCAATACGCGAATTATCCAGTTTTTTGATATCCAATCTAATTATATGAATCGGGCAAACTCTGGCAGGCATTATATATAGACTCAATGATGACCTGAAATGGTTCTGACATTGACCTGAATTAGGGTCCGGTTATCAATTGAAATCAATTTGGACTAATACAATCAAGCCTAAAGCTTTCTACGTAGTTCTCTTTTGTTGTCGGCGTCGAATAAATGACGTCACGAACGCGAATCTCTGTAAACCATGGTTAACGTAAATAGAAGCAGCTCGATAGCATGCAGGTAGCCGCGTACTATCAGGGTATAATAATGAAAAATTTGATATTGACTTGAAATTTTGATTTTGATTTGATTAATTTGAAATTTGAAATGACAATAATAACTTTCTCACTTATTAACCCCTGATAACATCTGTATCGCCGCATCATTAACTATGAAATCCATCGACGAAATCGCATATATATCATATAACTGGTCAATTTATATGTAATTTCTTATTGTAATGTTGTGTGAAAATATTTTCGCTTACCAATTCTGACGGGTCTGTTACATTAACGACTAAGCCTGCGATTTTAATCATCTATGTCATAAGCGTGTTTAGCATAATTGTACCCACATGACCAAACGATATTTAGTAGCGACGTCGCATTTGTGATTTGTAATTTATTGTCTTTTAGTGGGATGTTTTTTTTTATAACACTCACGGTAACTTTGCACGTGTTAAATATAATGCTCATGATCTATTCTATACCGTCTTTCAATTGTGTTTTCTTCACAGTCCATTCACTGGCTGAAGTCGCTCTTGTGCTACCAACCCGACTTTGTTGCCATAACCACATTACGGCGCATTGCCCGATAGCATGCCGTGGGGTCCGGGTCAACTTGCATGATAAGGGCAATTAAGCTCTACTAAAGATCTCCACCGCTCCTTCTCCTCTTTACAAATTACTTTCTCTCTCTCTCTACGGGCTACGGATACAATCTTACCCATGCACCGCTGTGCTTGCTGGCGCAGGGAACCTCGCTAATAACAGTGAAACACTTGCTGTACGCCGTATACGTAAAGTCACCGTGGCAATGCGCTCAACGTACGCATGTAAATTCATGGTGTAAAACATCGCATGGGTATATAGGAGCAGCGATCATTGTAATGCAGAAGAGAGAGAGAAGAGAGGAGAGAGCAGAGGTAGGTAGAAAGAAAGCAGATGGACGCACCGTGATCAATGGGCCTGATCGAACACGTCACCAAGGAGGACCAAGGCATCCGCGGAACAGGACAGGTCGGCCACAGGTCTCGTCATTCTAGAAGATTCCTATTCGGGCAAGACATCGATAGCATCGAGGTCTATTCATTATTGCTAGCTACAATCAGAAATGAACTAACAAATCCTGTCAATAAAAACATGGAATGGTCATTAGACCGGTGGTAAGCAGTCTAATAGGTGTAATAGTTAAGTCTCATGATCGTTTGTATATAGTAGCATTTTAGCTGTCATGATAGTACGAAACGTTGCTTAATCGTGGCTATAAGAAACACCACGCACGCGCGCAAATTTGTTAATTCGTTTTTCTTCACTCCTTACGTGCTCGTGTGTCATAGTAATCTATACAGTGCCTGTTTGTCTGTAGTGTAATCAGAGTTAAATAAAACATCTTTTAGTCATTTATAGCAGTTATCATTAACCGCGTGGTCGATCTCTCTTACATTTTGTTACTTTCGTTGCAGATTTTGAAGACCACTATGACGAAAACTATTAATCGCCACCACTCGATGGCTTTCAAGCAAAAATTTACACGATCAAGGGCTACGGCGTATCAGATGGACATCGTCAAGACACGCCTGTAACACCCATACTTTTTACCGCCAAAACAGAAACTGGACATCCTAATGCGGTGGTTTTTACAAAGTCTCAGTTAGCGACGTGGCGCGAGATTGCTTATGAGCTACATCCCATTGTATGTAACCTCACAATGAATAGCTAATCAGATATATCAAAGTGACTGAGCCTTGTGTGTGTGTGTGTGTGTGTGTGTTGTTTCAGTGTGTGTGTGTGTGCTGTTGTGTGTGTGTGATGTGCTGTGTGTGTGTGTGGTGTGTGTGTGTGCTGTGTATGATTGTGTGTGTGTGTTGTTGTGTGTGTACTGACGTGGGTGTGTGTGCTGTGTGTGTGTGTGTGTGGTGTGGTCTGTGGTGTGTGTGTGTGTGTTGTGTGTGTGTGGTGTGTGTGTGTGTGTGTGTGTGTGCTGTGTGGTGTGGTGTTGTGTGTGCTGTGTGGTGTGTGTGTGTCTGTGATGATGTGTGTGTCGTGTGTGTGTGTGTGTGTGTGTGTAGTGTGTGCTGGTGTGTGTGTGTGTGGTGTAGGGGTTGTGTGGCGGCTGTGTGTGTGTGGCATGTGTGCTCGTGCTGTGTGTTGTGTGTGGACTTCGACTGTGTGTGTGTGTGTGTGTGTGCCGGCGCGCCGGCGTGCGTGCGTGCATGGCGCGTGTTGAGCGCATATCTTTGCCGCACGGTTTGCATTTGGCCAGAGCGGACAACCGAATCGGATGGTTCGTCACACTTTCCTCGCCACCATAATTACATTCACACCTGAATATGACAGAGCGTCGTGTGTCGCGGCGGTTGAACTACTCCAAGTAAAGTCACAGCGCCGACACCGTACAATCCCCTGCTCTGACCATCTCAGGTTATCTGATCGCGACTGCGATTTGACTATTGTGCAGGCGACCTGTTCCTCTCGTCCTACAGCATAGACCAGCTGCGAGTCCGCTTCGTCTGAAAAATGACCGGCGCTAGCTGTAATGACGAGATCGTCACGGACGAGGGCAGACGTGGCCTTCAGCGATCGCAAAGCCTGCATCGTAGGATGCACGGCACACGTGCCCCTGCTCATCGTCACGTGGTCCGGTCAACAGACGGACCGCGAGTCGCACCGCCCGTCAGTTAAGGAGATGACGAACACGCGTGGTCCGACGCCGCTCACCCGCATCTATTCTCATCGAGCGAGTCGGCGAAGACGCCATTGCAACCGACCTGAGCGACGTGTTTCCTCAAGCTGCTGCGGCGTCTCCAAGCTGCGCGCGCTCGAGAGAGCCAGTCGATGCATCCGCAGCGTCAGAAGGAGGACTCGCCTCCACCGCATGCATTTCAGCCGTCTCCGTCATCCTACGTGCGGCTGGCCCGCAAGATGCCAAAGGGCGCCGTGACCGATCTCGAGCCCTGCCGACCAAACGTTCGTACAGGCGAGCGCGTTACATCGCCGTATACATCGCAGAGGCTGTGCCGTCACAGCCAAACGAACTGTGACTATAAGAGGGGGCCGTATGCACTTGAGGCAAGTAAAGGCGACGAGCCATGAAATGTAAACTTAATTGTGTTAGAATTGTGGAAAAAACGAGAGGACCATTTATAAAGTGAGATGATGAGAGTAGCTTTAGATAAAACTCCTCATGAGGTTTTATCGTAGTCAAAAATATTATATATACATAAAACATAGTTGCTTAAACGTCAAAGTGTGATTGTAAGAGTGATAAATTAGACTATAGTACTAGTACAAGTATATATAATTATTTAGATTACATAATAGTAAGATTGGTTTGCATAGAACACGATGCTGTACGATTGCTACTAGGATACTAGCTCTATTTACACACTCCTTCAAATCACATTTGACGGTTTAACAAACATGTTTATGTGATATATGATATTTTTAACGATAATAAACCTCATGAGTTCATCTACTACCTCTACATCTCACTTTATAAATGAGTCACTCTCGTTTTTTCCACAATCTACACAATTAATTTACATTTTATGCTCGTCGCCTTTACTTGCCTCACGTCTGAGCAAGGAGACAAAAGAAACATTAAAAAAATGTTGATGTAAATTATGCGTTTTTGTTGGCGTTATGCAGATTCTAGCGCAACTATCCACCGAAAAGCGTTATTTGAGTTGACAACTAAAAATAGGACGCCATCGTGAATGTTAATTGAGATATTGATTCCGGTTCTATATTATCTATTCAACGGGGAAATTTCTTCTGGAAACAATCAGGAGTATGGACCATGCGATCCTGCTGAGGGCTAGAAATTTAATTAGAAACCACAGGAGTTCGACAAAAAGAAATGTTTACACTACTAGTAAACAGAAAAGCTGCGTGCGCCAACTTTACAGCCTTGTGGCCAAAGCGGCGTCTACACTATAGACTAAAACCCTCGTTTTAGGAAAACGCGCCGGTTCGGCGGTGCAGCCGTCTACACTGTCAAAAAACCCAGCCATTCCTAAATAGTACGTGTTTCAGCTGCTTTGCATAAGCTGTCTGTGGCCTTGCTAAGTAAATCTACCATATACGTATAACTTCGTATGTTAACTATCATTTGTTTGCCGGTTGGCACATAACTATATAGTTACAGCACTGAATATCATTAAATAGTGAATTTAGAGTTAGACGGTATCAGTGTTGTGTTGTCGTAGTCTTAGAATTGTGGTGGGTTTAACAGCTACGTATTTCGGTGTGTCAATGGTCTGCCAAAATTACGCATAATACGTGAAATGTTGAGTATATAACTGACGTTACACATGCGGTCTTGGCGGCATTAGATTTCCATGCATATAACCAGGGATTTCTCTATGTAGGTAAATACCCCGAGATTGGATAGAAAAAAAAGGATTTAGATCTAGTTTCACTCTTTCGTTTATCGTTTTTAAACTGTTAAGAAATTAAATAATTAACAATAAATTGACGGTGACACCATCCCTCATAACAGGCGGTTATTGTGAGCCATGCCGTATTACTTTACGCGTGACTGGTTCTTCAGAGAGGCTGAGGGTAAGCTGTCTCTCATTATCTTACTAAGATTTGCGATAGACTGGAAAGGACCGGACTATACACCAGTCCCAGTCGGTTTGTGGAAAGATGATATTAAGTTAATGAATGTAGTGATTATTACCACATATAACACGAAAAAATCGCACGACGCAATCTTAATACGCTCTTGATATATTCAATATGGAGTTATTACAGTGCACGTTGGTGTTATGGCACTTGGAAAGGCACAAGTTTGGCACAAATTGTTAGAAAGAAAATATGTGTAAAACAAGTAAAGAAAAACTAAAATAAAAATCTTGTTAGTGTATTCTTATCTCACACATTGCTTACTCACTGTTTGCCGTAACAAACAATCGGACGTCATACTCATACGCTCACTGACCACGAGTTCATGCTAAAACCAATGATATGGCAGCCAAGATATTTGTAATACCTGTTAGACTCGAGCAGTTAAACTACACCAACCAAATATAATGAATTGTCAGCGACCATAGCTAAGCATAATCCAAAAAGATTATATTTCATATAAGTAATACCCCTTTGATGATTTTATCGCCGCAATTACTGACGCAAAAACAAAGTAGGATACCCAAAGTGAATGGACTATGGCAGCAAGATCTATCGGTCTATCGATCGATGCCTCCATCCATCCATCCATCCCTCCATCCGTCCATCCATCCATTCATTCATCCATCCATCCATCTATCCATCCATCCATCCCTCCCTCCATCCATCTATCCATCCATTCATCCTTCCATTAATCCATTCACCCATCCGTCCATCCAACCATCCATCCACCCACCCACCCCTCTCGCCTTCCCTCCTCGTTTACCACCTCTTCCTCCTCTACCGCTTCCCTCCTCTTCCATGTACCTCCTTTACGTCCCTCTCCCCTCATACCCTTCACATCTACCTCTCATCCTCTCTCTCTCTTCTCTTTTACCTCCTCCCCCTGCCTTCTGGTCGTCATCCTGCTCTAGAACCTGCCTCTTCCTACTCCTATCCCTCCTCCTCTTCCTCTTCCTTTTCCCCCTTCGCCTTTTACTAGCCCTATTTTTCCCACTTTTCTCTTCCTCCCCTCCTCCACTTCTCTTAATCCTCCTCTACTTCCTCTCCTCCTCCCCTTCTACCATTCAAATCTATCTTCCCCACGCCCTTTTCTTTTACTTCCTCTTTCACAACCTGCTCCACTTCCTCTCCTCCTCCTCCTCCCCATTCTCCTCTACTTTCGCTCCCCTCTTACTATATCTTATTCCTTTTTTCTCTTCTCCTACTACCACTTCGCATCTCCCTCTTTGTCTATGTTGTATTGTGAAAAGGTTGATATGAAGTTCTCAGGATCAATCTTGCGAGATCATAGCAGGTACTGAGGAACTAGAGCTTGACGTAGTTGTAGAGATGTAGAATACAGTAAAAACCCGCGTATAAGAACCTGTATTTTTCCGGGTTAGCCTAAAAAGTTTCTTATATAATTGGTGTGTACTGGAAAATTAGGCTATTTAGGATCTTAAATAGGTTCTTATTTTCTTTAAAAAAAAGGTGCTTGTGGCTGGTAGAATATTGGTGCGGTCCATTGTTTATACAAAATATTCATATAATTATGTCTAAATGACTGCAATCTAGACAAATACAAACCCTATTCTACGTTCTTATTTCTTTTTATGCCCTTTATACCTAATAGAGGTATATAGACAACCAAGAACATGTTTTAGTTGATTTATGAATTTTAAAGTGTTTAAAACTGAATTTTATCAAATAAGAACCTGTTTCAAATTTTAGGCTACAGCAGGTTCTTATATCAAGGGGGTCTAAATGGAAAATCTTAGCCTAACAGGTTCTTAATCACTAGGTTCTTATACGCGGGTTTTTACTGTAGTAGAGATTGTAGCGTGTCGTTATTCAGTCTCCAATCAGGATAGAGCAGGCAGCCGCAGATACGGTGTGGAACGATGGTGACTTTATTAGTAACTTGAACATATACAACAGCTGCTATAAAACACACATACATACATACAGGATACATACATACATAATTAAACCGTAGACGCTGCCCGTTTCACCATAGAAGCCACTATGATTCGACCCCCGCGGCAGCGTGCGCACGAGCTACAGGCGAAGGTGCCGGGGAAATTTCTAATTAAACCGTAGACGCTGCTCGTTTCACCCTAGAAGCCACAACAGTTCGACCCCCGCAGCGGCGTGCGCGCGAGCTACAGGCACGTGTTATTGTGCGTGAGTGTTTAATGAGCAAAACAATACCAGCTGTTTGAAGATTGACCGAATATTACAGAAGTTCTTGTAAGTTTAGCATGCCTACCCCCTTAATTTATAGGCACTCAGATTGGAAAATATACGATCTGTATTTTTTTCTGATAATAAAAATTGCCCAAGGGTGCCAAAGTGGCACCCGGTGGATTCCGGTTCAGGATAGTCTAAAGATCAGGAAACCACAAAAAAACCTTGTATATACCCGATTGCAACGTTCAGTCAAATTTCCCTACTCGGCAACTCGACTACAGGCACTTGGAACATTTAAATAAAAAATATGGTTAAAAAGCACGGAATAAGGAACCCTTTATTCTTGTTGTTTGTGCACAGCGGCGTGCGTGCGGTGTACTTGTGTGTTGCAGAGAAGCATTTGTCCGGCATTTACAGGAAGTTATCGGCAATAATAGGCGAAAGAGAGTAGAGAAACATTGAGACTTTGGTAGTAAATACATTTTGTGTGTATTTACCATGTTTTTGTACGTTCCAAGTGCCTGTGTTGTCAACGGTACGAGTCTCGCCTCTGACTTAACTCTGCGTACCTACTCCACACAACCTTTCATTTAATGAAGTCCCTTCATCTGGACGTGCGCGAGGCACATCCAAACTGTCTCAAAAATAGAGCGTGTCAAATGAACTTACACGCACTGCACGCACGCACACCACACGCACACGTGAATGCCAGCACGCAAACACGCACGCTCTATTGTGTGTCTTTGGTATCTCATGGCACAAAGTCGAATTATGGTTGGTTGACCCATGTATATAATTTCACATGTTCCTCCCATGTAAAATGTTCTTCGGTTAATATTTCTCCAGGAACTAGGAGAAACGGTAGCTGAGCCTTCCGCGCCACATGGCGCATATGGTTGGCCATCGTACTCATAAATATTTATTTTTTACTGCGGTAGAAATAATTCAACCGCGGTTAAATTATGGCTCTTTTGCCCAATCAGAGTCCTTGTAACACATAATTTAACCACGGTAAAATTATGTGTAACAATGCCTCTGGTTGAGTAAAACGGCAATAATTACTTTCGTTCGTCTAGAGATTCTCAAGACGTAGTCGGATAGAATCCCTCACCCCCCCCCCCTGCGCGCGCCGCCAGGCCTATGTGAAATGCCTTATAAGGAATTTGTGACAAAATAGCATCCTGTTTAGTGAAGGCTGCTTCGATCTCATTGTTCTATCGTGAACTGCTCATATCTACTTTCCTCTACTCGGTTGCCTTGTCGTTTTGACACTTATATCATATTATATTGAAATAATTGCCGCGGGGTCGCTGTAGACTACCGCCTAGCTGCTATTGCAATATTGGCAACGCGAATTATCCAGTTTTTGATATCCAATCTAATTATTGATCGGGCAAACTCTGGCAGGCATATATATATACTTCAATGATGACCTGAAATGGATTCTGACATTGACCTGAAATTAGGTCGTTATCATTGAAATAATTTGGGACTAATACAATCAGCTAAGCTTTCTCACGTTAGTTCTCTTTTGTGTCGGGTCGAATAAATGACGTCACGAACGCGAATCTCTGTAAACATGGTTAAAGTAAAGAAGCGCGATAGCATGCAGGTAGCGTACTATCAGGGGTTAATAATGAAAAATTTGATATTGACTTGAATTTTGATTTTGATTTGATTAATTTGAAATTTGAAATGACAATAATAACATTTGTCATTATTAACCCCTGATAACATCTGTACGCGATCATTTAACTATGAAATCACATCGAGCGAAAACGCATTATATATCATATTAACTGGTCAATTTATATGTAATTTTTATTAGTAATGTTTGTGAAATATTTTGCTTACATCCTGACGGTTGTTACAATAACGTATAGCGCGATTTTAATCATCTATGTCATTAAGCGTGTTTAGCATAATTGTACCCCACATGACCACGATATTTAGTAGCGACGTGCATTTGTGATTTGTAATTTATTGTCTTTTAGTGGGATGTTTTTTTTAATATAAACTGCGTATTTGCACGTGTTAATATAATGCTATGATCTATTCTATACCGTCTTTCAATTGTGTTTTCTTCACAAGTACCATTCTGCTGAAGTCGCTCTTGTCTACCAACCCGACTTTGTTGCCATACCACATTACGGCATTGCCCATGCAATGACGTGGGCGTCATTGCATGATAAGGGCAATGTGAAGTCTTACTAAAGGATCTCCACCGCTCCTCTTCCTCTTTACAAATTACCTTCTCTCTCTCTCTACGGGCACGGATACAATTTACCCATGCACCGCTGTGCTGCTGCCAGGGAACCTCGTAATAACAGTGAAACATTGCTGTGCCCTATCGTAAAGTCACGTGGCATGCGCAACGTACGCATGTAAATTCATGTGTAAACATGCATGGGTATATAGGAGCAGCATCATTGTATCAGAGAGAGAGAGAGAGAGAGAGAGAGAGAGGTAGGTAGAAAGAAACAGAGGACGCACCGTGATCAATGGGCCTGATCGTAACCTCACCAAGGAAGAACAGCAGGCGTCTCGTCATTCTAGGAGATTCCTATGTCGGCAAGACATCGATAGCATCAAGGTATGTCTATTCATTATTGTACTCAATATAGAAATAATACAATCCTGTCATAAAACCTGGAATGGTCATTAGACGGTGGTAGCAGTCTATAGGTGTAATAGTAGTCTATAATCGTTGTATATAGTAGCTTTTAGTGTCATGTATAGTAGCGTAAACGTGCTAATGTGCTATAAGAAACACACGCACGCGCGCAAATTTGTTTTAATTCGTTTTTCTTCACTCCTTACATGCTCGTGGTGTCATAGTAATCTATACGTGCTGTGTTTGTCTGTATGTGTTATCAGGAGTAAATAAAACATTTTTTAGTCATTTATAGGGTTATCATTAACCGCGTGGTCGATCTCTCTACATTTTGTTATTTCGTTTGCAGATTTTTGAAGAACCACTATGACGAAAACTATTATCCCACCGTCGATGGCTTTTACAGAAAAACTTACACGATCAAGGGTACGGCGTATCAGATGGACATCGTAGACACGCCTGGTAGCACCTGCTTTTCCGCCAAAGAGAAACTGGACATCATCATGGGTGCGTGTTTTACAAGGTCTCAGCTTAGGCGACGTGCGCGAGATTGCTTATGAGGCTACATCCTTGTATGTAACCTCACAATGAAGTAATTAGATATATCAAAGTGTGTGTGTGTATGTGTGTGTGTGTGTGTGTGTGTGTGCGTGCGTGCGTGCGTGCGTGCGTGCGTGCGTGCGTGCGTGCATGGCGTGTTGAGCGCATATTTTGCCAAGGTTTTGCATTTTGGCCAGAGCGGACAACGATATCAGTGTTCATCGTTCACACATTCCCCGCCACCATAATTACATTCACCTGAATATACAAGCGTCGTGTTGCGGCGGGTTGAACTATCGAAGTAAAACACAGCGCCGACCGTACATCCCCTGTTTTGACCATCTCAGGTTTTCTGATCGCGACTCGATTCGACTATTTGCAGGCGACCTGTTCCTTCTCGTCTACAGCATAGACAGCTGCGAGTCGTTCGCGAAAATGACGCGCCTGTATGACGAGATCGTCACGACGAGGGCAAGCGCTCAGCGATCGCAAAGCCTGCATCGTAGGAAGCACGGCACCGTGCCCGTCATCGTCGTCGGTAATAAGACTGACCGCGAGTCGCACCGCACCGTCAGTAAGGAGATGACGAACGCGTGGGTCGACGCGCACCCGCATCTCATTCTCATCGAGGCGTCGGCGAAGACGCATTGCAACCTGAGCGACGTGTTCCACAAGCTGCTGCGGCGCTCCAAGCTGCCGCTCGAGATGAGCCCGTCGATGCATCGCAGCGTGCAGAAGGAGGACCTCGCTCCACCGCTGCATTTCAGCCGTCTCCGTCATCTACTGCGGCTTGGCCGCAATGATGCCAAGGGCGCCGTCGACGATCGAGCCTGCCGACCAAACGTGTACAGCGACATGTGTGGGTTACATATATATATATATATATAATATATATATATATATATATATATATAATTAGAGAGAGAGAGAGAGAGAGAGAGGAGAGATTCTCACTGGTTGTTTATGAACTCAGTGTGTCGAGATGTGCATCAAAACTAGCCATGATAGAGCAAATATAGATAAAGTATACGGACCACGGTAGAAATTTTTAGCTCTGTTATGCATACTAGAACTGTTTTCGTGTGTTACCAGAGTTAAAATTCATAAATCAAACTAAAATCCAAGTTTCTTGGTGGTGCTATATACGCTCTATTAGGGTAAATAAAGGGCATAAAAAGAAATAAGAAAGCGTAGAATAAGGGTTTGTATTGTCCTAAGATTGGCAGCATTTAGAGCATAATTATATGAATATTTGTATAAACAATGGACCGCACCAATATTCTACAGGCCACAAGGCACTTTTTAAAGAAAAATACGAAACCTATTTAAAGATCCTCAAATAGCCTAATTCCCAGTTACACAGAGACACATTATACTAAAGAAGACTTTTTTAGGCTAACGCCGAAAAATATGGCGGGTTTTTATTGTAATGTCTCCATCTACAACGTACGGCAAGCTCTAGTATCTCAGTATCCTGCAGATCTCGCAAGATTGATCTGAGAACTCATATCAACCTTTTCACAATACAGACATAACAAAGAGGGAGATGCGAAGTGGGTAGTAAGAGAAGAGAAAAAAGGAATAAGATATAGTAAGAGGGAGAAGCGAAAGTAGAAAATCGGGGAAGAGGAAGAGGGGAAGTGGAGCAGGATGGAAGAGAAGTAAAAAAAAGGCGCGGGGAAGATAGATTTAATGTAGAGGGGAGGAGGAGAGGAAGTAGAGAAGGATTAAGAGAAGTGGAGAGGGGAAGAAATAAAAGTGGGAAAAATACGGCTAGTAAAAGGCGAAGGGGGAAAAGGAGGAGGAAGAGGAGAAAGAATAAGGAGTAGGAAGAGGCAGGTTCTAGAACAGGATGACATGAAAGGCAGCGGGAGGAAGGTAAAAGAGGGAGAGAGAGAGATCGAGAGGTAAATGTGAAGGGTATGAGGGAAGGGACGTAAATGAGTAACATGGAAGAGGAGGGAACGTAGAGGAGGAAAGAGGGGTAACGAGGAGGGAAGCGAGAGGGGGGGTGGGTGGATGGATGGATGGTGAATGGATGATGAAGGATGAATGGATGTGGAATGGATGGATGATGGATTGATGGGATGGATGGAAGGATGGATGATGGAGGAGATGATGGTATGGATGGATGGATGGATGGATGGTGGATGGATGGAGGATGGAGGATGGAATGGATGCGAATGGATGGATGAATGGATGGATTGGAATGGATGGGTGAACTTGGATGGATGGCATGGAGGAGGATGGATTGGATGATGATGGATGGATGGATGAAGGATGGATAGGGTGGATGGATGATGGATAGATGATGGATGATGGATGGATGGTGCGATGATGGATGGTGGATGGATGGATGATGGATGTGGATGGAGGATGGATGGATGGAGGGAGGGATGGAGATGGATGGATGGTGATAGATGATGGATGAGGATGGAACGGGCGGGCGGACGGGACGGGCGACGGACGGCGGACAGCGGCGGATGGATGGATGATAATAGGGCATGGTGGAAGGATGAAATGAATGAATTGGATTGGATTGGATGGACGCCGGACCGAACGACGGAGATGGATGTTAATCGATAGATATATGGAATGGATGGAGGGATGGATGGATTTGATAATGGATGGACGGAGGTACGACGACGGACGACGGACGGACGACGGATGGATGGTTGAATGGATAGATATATGGATGCTGATGGATGGATGAGGGATGGAGGATGGATGGATGGATGAATGAATGAATAATGGATAGATGGAATGGATGGATGGATGGATGGATGGATGGATGATGTCTGGTGGGTAGATGGATGGAATGGATGAATGAATCGTAGGAATGATGAGCGGATGGAGGGATGGAAGGAGCATCGATGCGATAGACGCGATAGATCTCACTGGCAAGTCGCATTCACTTTGGATAACTACTTTGTTGCGTCAGAATTCGGCGATAAAAATGCAATCAACAGGGTAATATTATAATGAAATATAACTTTTGGATTAGCTTAGCTAGGGCGTGACAATGTCATTATATTGGTTGGTGTAAGTTTTAACTGCTCGGGTTGGCACAGGTATAAAAATATCTGGCTGCTCATATATGCATTGGTTTTAGATGAACTCGTGGTCAGTGAGCGTATGAGTATTGACGTCGCGATTGTTTGTTAGGCAAACAGTGAGTAGCAAGAATAAGAATACACTAACGAGATTTTTATTTTAGTTTTTTCTTTACTTGTTTTACACATATTTCTTTCTAACAATTTGTGCCAAATATATCCTTTCACGAATGCCATAACACCAACGTGCGCTGTAATAACTCATATTGAATATATCAAGAGCGTATTAAGATTGTGTCGTGCGATTTTTTCGTGTTATATGTGGTAATAATCACTACATTCATTAACTTATATCATCTTTCCACAACCGACTGGGGACTGGTGTATAGTCCGGTCGTTTCCAGTCTATCGCAAATCTTAGTAAGATAATGAGAGACAGCGTTACCTCAGCCTCTCTGAAAGAACCAGTCACGCGTAAAGTAAATACGGCAGGCCACAATAACCCGCTGTTATGAGGGATGTGTCACCGTTTAATTTATTGTTAATTATTTAATTCTTAACAGTTTAAAAAACGATAAACGAAAGAGTGAAACTAGATCTAAATCCTTTTTTCTATCCAATCTCGAGGTATTTACCTACATAGAAAAATCCTGGTTATATGCATGGAAATCTAATGCCGGCCAAGACCGCATCGTGTAACGTCAGTTATACTCAACATTTCACGTATTATGCGTAATTTGGCAGACCATTGACACACCGAAATACGTAGCTGTTAAACCCACCACAATTCTAAGACTACGACAATACAACACTGATACGCGTCTAACTCTAAATTCCGATGATATTTAGTGCTGTAGCTATATAGTTAATGTGCCAACCGGCAAACAAATGATTAGTTAACATGCGAAGTTCTACGTATATGGTAGATTTACTTAGCAAGGCCACAGACAGCTTATGCAAAGCAGCTGAAACACGTACTATTTCGTAATTTTTGCGATACTACACAAATAAAACGATACTATTTAACAAGTGTTGGCACAGGCTGTAAAGTTGGCGCACGGCAAGCTTTCTGTTTACTAGCAATGAACATTTCTTTTGATCGCACTCCTGTGGTTTCTATATTAAATATCTGCCCTCAGCAGGATCGCATGGTCCATACTCCTGATTGTTTCCAGAAGAAATTTCCCCAGTTGAAAGATAATATGAACCGGAATCATATCTCAATAACATTCACGATGGCGTCCTATTTTAGTGTCAACTCAAATAACGT